TTTATTTGATAAGTGTAATTCAATGTGTTTTTTTCATCAACGACTTTTGTCATTAATTTACTTCAATATCCAAGACCCCAGAATAGCATTGCTTTTGAAAATACTGTATACTGTGGTATAATTTCTGGAAGGTATGTAAATTTAGATACTGTCCAAACCAAATCTCGACCAAGCTAATTATCATGGTCCAGGCAATGTGACAATTAGATAAAATTGCATAAATATCAAAGATAAAAATAATTATTACTATTGCATGTGCAGAACATGAAAAGTTGAGTTTGACAGCGCATATCATGCAGGGCTATTAGTAACATACATTTATTTTCTATTTGTACAAGTACATGTACATAGGAATTCCATAATCTGCATATCTCTTCTTGCTCTCCGTCAGATACACACACATACAGGTGAGAGCAAAGCTTGGGGTCAGAGTGCAGGGTCAGGATTGTATCGGGGACTCCTGGAACAGGTATTCAGGCTTTTGGGTCAATGGCCTAACAGTCATATGATGATATTCTGCCAGCCAAAGGATCAACCCTGGCAACCCTCCAGACACAGGAGCAGATCCTTAACCCACAGAGCCAAACACCAACTGTCTCCTCAGAATGAACAAAGAAATAAACTATGTAAAATAACCAGTTCAATGTATCAAGAGTATCTTGACATAAAGAGAATAAATTATGGATCAGAGCAAAACCAAACAAGAGTTTCAATTATTAAATCATCATGGTTTAGGAGATTTTTCTGTGGCAACATGACAATACATATTCTTGACTTTGTTTTAGCAGAAGAAACATTAGTTAAAAAAGCTGAAAAACTGGCTCACAAACTATCTTTGCTTTCCTTTATAAGCAGCTGAGTGGCAAAATTCTTTGTATATAGACCTTAATTTCTGCACTTTATACCCCACTTGTTAACCTGCAATGCACCACTCAATATTAATACTCAAGAGGAAAAAAATTGCATGCATAACCTTTCTGATATGTAGCTACGATACTGCAGTAACTGAGCATTACTAATGTATACTATGTATTGTATAGCTGTACAGAAAAGATCTGAATTTAAACTAATTAAATAATTTCATATAATGGGCAAGCCTCAGAGTTCCCCACATTCACATTCCAGCATGACGATAAACCCCCTCACTGTTCCTCTATCATGACCTAACATGCTGCTGGTATTTTAGAAAAATGGAATCCTTTATTGACAAACATACTATGTTACTGCGTTTATTAATTCCCTTTCCACTGCAACACATTTGTCAAGTAAAGCCAATATGAATCATTTAAGTGTTTTCCATTTTATTTTAGGTAAATATATTCATTTAATTAAAACCCTCTGGGTATTGCTAGTTGATCTAATGTTTTTATTCCTTTGTCTTACAAATTGAAGTCCAGACATGACACACAAGTTTGCAAGCCACAATGCATCTGATCTTTACTCTTATTGAAATGTATAAGCATTGCTCCAATTTCATGCATGGACCAACATTTTTATGCTTTTTTGATAAAATTAAACATTATTGTTTTAATTAAAGAACGTTGCAGCTTGGTTTAGTGAGAACAGCAACACGAGCCTAACAGATCCTAGAAGCCAATAAGTGTTTGTTTTGTACCACAATCCCTGATACCAAAACATAGCCTACTTGGCTCATCTTGCATCAGAAAAATAACACTACAAATTTACTTGAAGATAAGACGGCTATGTAGCTATTACAGGCTATTGCCACAATATGCAAATGATCTGACTTCCTTATAGAAAAGTGTGCAACATCCAAGCTGCCATTTCTTTGGAATTTCCTCACAGTTCCTGCCCAACTCCACCTTAATACAATGCATACTCTTAATTCACAACAAGACCAGAGCTTTATACACTGGGCGGCGTGAAGTATGATCATAAAAGTAGACAACTAGAAAAACATGACATACAAGATATGTCATGATTCTGTATCATGTTAATCCAAGTGATAGCCTGTAGGCCACAATTATATAACTACTTCCCATCATGCTTGTCCCAAAAAAAGATGAGATATTTTTAAAAGGCTAAAATATAGCGATTTCATACATTCCAGCACACCATCCAGTAAAGTGGGAATGTTAGTCGAAAGTAACCACAAGCTAATAAATTTAATTAAGAAAAAGTAGGGTGAGCTTCTAGGATTGCTTTTTCAGCTTTGGTTTGGTGTCTCTGTTCACACACTTCCATGAAAGGTGGCAGCTAGGCAATTGCTCCCACATCCATCCCTGTCTCCACAGTGAAGAGGAGAGTAGCTCTTAGTCCAGGTGCTGAGACACTGTGACCATCTGTCGCGAGTCTGCGCAAACTGGCTTCAGTGCCTGCAATACCTGCATGTATTTCTATATTACTGCACTGTCTAATATTGTAATATTCTTTCAACTGTCTGCTTATTTTCTTACATTTATTATTAACTAGCTGCACACACTGTTTTTCCCTCACCTAATCTATGCATCTTTGGGTTTCTGAAATGATTAATCCAAATTTAATATATAATTAATACTGCTTCTATTATTACTATTATTAGTGTCCACTTCATATTACAAGTGGCCTGGGGGGGAGGGGGCGTGTACCTGGCACTCTGCCCCTTGCTGACTTATCATGAGAGCAGGTGCACATATGCCACACATTCAATTTCACATAAATAGAGAGAACATTTTACATCATTAAAGTTACAAAACATGTTCTTATAACACACAATTAAGGTTGTTTCTTACTACAATTTTCTGAGACCTCCAGATGAATCTAATCTGTCAAATACTACAAACTTAACAACCCACAGATTATGCAAGCCTATATGAATGAAGTCACACACTCAAACATACCAGAAAACTTTCATGAGCCATGGTGAATTAACTAAGTTGGGACAGGCAAATAAACAAGTATTTAAAAATGTTTTGCCAGACAACGATCCACTGCAATATCTACAATCATCATGCTGAACATTGAACAAGCAAGAAAGTCGAATCTATGCAACCTTGACATAACAACAAACCACATGAGTTTCCTAAACAAATCGTTTACCTGATCAAATTAACTTAATTAGATGGCATTAATGGCAGTGGTTAAAGGGCTTGACATGCATTTTGTCTTGTAGAATCCTCACTTCAGTTACTGACTTTGTTCAGCCACTGCGACAACCATTTTGCAAACGCAGTTTTGAATTGAGATAAACACCCAACAAACACACAGACGAAAAGAGATCGTACTATTTGCCATTTGAATCTTTTCTTATTAATAATCAAATTATTTGAGTTATGTTAATAATTCGATGTCCTTAGATTCAGAAACGAGGAAACATTGGTTTACTGCTACACAAACTCAACGTTAGCTAACAAGCTAGTCGACTAACAAGCTAAAGTTAAATAATTATCTGTAAATAAGATCAGTAGATAATAAACAATTTAATGGCATGCATTTCGCATACTACATGATCTGTGCAGTGACATAGCCATCAATTACCAGTAATATGGAAAAAGGGTAACATGGCTCTCTGCATGAGGTTAAAACTGAACAGCTCATACATACAAAAAGAGAAAAAGTAGTTATAAAAATTACTTTTTGCACGTAACACAAAGATACCGCATGTCTAAAGAAACGTGAATTTTCTCGGCTGTATTTATTACACCCCAGGCCTGGTCGTTATCAGGCGGCCTGCTCATATCACCGGTGCTCGAGTGCGCAGGCTCGCCTGCTTTGAAGCGCCCATCCCCGTGTAGCACTCACAGGAAAGGCCCGTATCCTCATCTTGGTGTCCTTCTTGGTGCCGCCTTTACTAAGATTGGACATGTTTTCGCCTCTAGATTTCTCCACCGTCGTCGGGGTACAGGAATGCGGGCGGGTGGGGGGAAAGAAGGTGGCTCGGCTTCCCCCTAATCCTTCCCTGCGAGTCTGCGTCCCTCTCTCTGGATCGGTGTCGTCGCTCCAGTGGCCGCCGCCGCCGCCAATCCCTATTTCGGATCTTGTTTTGCTGCTCGCGGTGATGGCGGCCCGGCAGCCTCAGTGCGCAGGACTGATGCTCGTGGAAGCCACGCGAGACGCACGAGACGGACTAGTGAAGAGAAAAATAAAAACAAAATACATGAAATCCACAAATTCTGGGTAATAGATCGGACTGAGGTACAGTGTTTTATTCTCATCCAAAGGTATTATTGTAAATTGTCATTTGTCCGGTATTTATTGTTATGAGTTCAGTGTTCCTGTTGTATAAACTTTTCTAATTTACAGATAGATGATTGTGTGAGGCTTTTTGTAATTTTACTGCACAACAGGGACAACCTCGATACTGCCTCATAAATTAGCGACAAGGCGCATTATGATGTTGATTTTCTCCAAACCACACCTTTAAATTGGAATCTACCTAGTACCTGTCGTATGGGTTAAAAAATGTAATGCGTCAACCGACGTGTTAAAGGCCAGTGTCAAACAGCGAGATTATCATGATGATTGCATAATGCACCTGCAGCGATGAGACATTCCCAATGATAGTCGGAAGAAGGCGCTAGATGCATGCATGGCACTTCATACATCACTGGACAAACACTGGGACAAATGATCATAGACTGATTGCAAGAGAATGGGAGCTGAAGTGTGCTCAGTATAAATTGAGGCAATGAAAAATACTTGGCAACACTTTACTTGAGGAGGCACAAATACACAGTAACTCCGTTACTAATGAAGTACAAATAATGAACAAATATAGCACTTGGGTACTTGAGATAAAAGATTTATTAATGATGAACAAATACGAGATCAACATTTCACTTGTGTTCACCATAACTTGTTCCTTCGGTACTTCAAAATGGTTTGCAGGATTAACAGATGTAGTAACAACTATAGTAACTGCTTGAGATAAAAGATGTCACAATTCAATAATGATGAACGAACATGAGATCAGTATGTAGCTATGGTCAATAAACATATGAGCATAATTCTATATAATGGTGTCCACTCAAGTAAAGCATCACCATCTATCTATCTATCTATCTATCTATCTATCTATCTATCTATCTATTTACAGTGCCCTTCATGATTGTCCTGCTGGAAGATCTAGTGATGGCCCAGTTTTAGTTTCCTGGCAGAGGCAGCCAAATTTTGATTTAAAATGTCCTGGCATTTCATGGAGTCCATAATGCCATGTACCTTAACAAGGTTTCCAGTGCCTTTGGAGGAAAAACAGCCCCACAACATCACAAAACCTCCACCATACTTTACAGTTGGCATAAGGTTCTTTTCATTATAACCATCCTTCTTTTTACGCCAAACCCACCTTGAATGTTTATTACCAAAAAGCTTTATTTTTGTTTCATCAGACCAAGAGCATGGTTCCAGTCAAAGTTGTAGTCTTTCGCAAACTCCAGGTGCTTACATTTGTGGTTAAGTGACAAGAAAGCTTCTTTTTGGCATACCTTCCAAATAATCTGTTGGCATGAAGGTGGTGTCTGATCATTTTTTCGGAGACGTAGTCACCCCAAGATTTTACTTGGTCTTGTAATTCACCAACAGTGATCCTTGGGGAATTTTTTTGCCTCTGTTATGATCCTCTTCACTGTAAGTGGGGGCAAAATAAACGTGGGTCCTCTTCCAGGCAGGTTTGTAACAGTTCTAATTGATGTCCACTTTTTTATTATTATCAGTTATTAACAGTTGAAATGGGCATTTTTAGGCGACTAGCTATTTTCTTAATACCAATTTCCTGACTTATGAAGGTCAACACAATTCTCCCTCATTTGGTTGGTATGTTGTCTTATCTCATATGTAGATGGATGACTAATGGAATTTGTCCTCTGTGTATCCTCATGTTTGTACCCCAGTTAATCAGGAAGTCATGGATTACAGCCTGAAGGTTCCTACATACTCCAATCAACTCAAAGATGTACAAATACGTGGGAGACATGCTTCAGTTACATTGTGTTCAGTGTAATTTCCAGGGGTGCCAATAATTGTGGCACATGCATTTTTGTTAAAAATAATTATTTCTTGATGATGGATTTCTTTTTTTTTTTAATTAAATGTATTTCAATGAAAGGTTGGATTTTCCTAATTTTTCAGTGTGAGATGAAGCTACTTCACCAAAAAGGTGTTTTTTTCTAACCCTTTGTAAAATCTATATAAGGGGTACCAATAATTGTGGAGGGCACTCTCTTTCTTTCTTTCTTTCTCTCTTTCTTTCTTTCTTGTGTGTGTATGTATATTGGCATCCAATCCATGATGTGCCCCAGTCTCCTGGCCATGCTTATTGGGGTAGACCCCACTTGTGCCCCCATACATGACACTGATCAGAATAAGTTCTTGGGTGGATGGGAAAACCACATTATTTCATGTTTCAATTAACAGTTTATATTTATTTGTTTGTTTGTTTCCTTGTTTGTTTATTTATTGGAAATAAGCACTCATTTTCATTTTTGTACTTGCAACATTTTCCAAAGAGAGTCTGGACAGTAAAGAATTTACCACTTTGTAATATAACTTATCCTTCTCAAACATTTAGATACTGAAGACATCAATTTACTCAGTGTTTCACAGTGTCAAGCTGTGCAGTGGGTCAGCAGATTTGAAGTCCCTGGGAGTCACCATTACTAGCTGCATCATTATCTGTTTTATCTCATACACCTACTGTAGCAACTCCTCAGCTTGGGACCAGGAAGATCACCCTGCGCAGCCTATTTTCTACTACCTCCCTATAGGCGGAAGGCAGAAAAACCTTCAAACAAGCCACGACTAATTGGTGCCAAAAGATCCAAATAAACAAAAAATCATGGATGATCAATGCTATTCAACATTATGTTGATGAAATGACAGGTGAAACTTTGGGTCCTATAAGTGTAAGTAACATATTCTTGTTGCAGGTTCCACCCTCTCCATACAATGCAGATAAATGTCACATCTTCACAAATGTTCAGGATGAAAAAATTAAACGTTCATCCAGGTGAATCAGCAGGAACAGATTGTGGTATGACAAAACTATAGGTGTGATACGTAAAACCATAGAACTGTTCCTGCTGACTGTATATGCTTGTGGAGACTCTTCATTCATTTCTATGAGCTTAACTTTAATTCCAGAAATGACAGCCTTAACCCCTACTCAGCCCTAACTTTAACCATAAGTAACCATCACAAAATACTAGATTCCTAAATTACTAAATTGAATTGCCCATGGTGAGGACCACATCCCCATAATGTGATATTATTTTGTCCCTGCAATGTAATATATAGGCCTACATGCTTGCTGACACACACACACACACACACACACACAGACCTGTACTCATACCTTTGTGGGGACCATCCTTTAATTTCTTTGGGCAAAACCCTAATCCCAACAACGACAACCATAACCCACACACACACAGGTTTGTAATTATATTTTTGTAAGGACAATCCATTAATTTCGATGGGGAAAACTACATGATGACCTTAACCCCTACCCAGCCCACCATATCATGAGTAACCAAAAGTTTTTTTTGCCATTTTTAGTTTTTTGATTGCAGTCACATATTATTACTAAGTTGAATTTCCCCTTGTGGTGCTGTGTTTTTTTTTTCTTTCCCTGCCAATCAGGAGTTAAGAGCTGCTGTTTATTGCAACATCAAAGTTACAACCAAGGCTGGACCCCCTGCAGGAATGTGTCCCATAGCGAATTACCCTGATTGTTATACACTTTTCATATCTCTTATCAAGATATTTATCACAGGGGTTTTCCAAGCATCACCTTTTGGACCAATTGCAATCAAGGTGCCTCCCTTTCCAGGGCTCAGATAATCCTTGCACCTGTGTGATAAGGCTGCCAATTATTTATTTTATTACATAGTCACTTTGGAAAACATGACCAGGGCAATATTGTTTATATAGTTGTAGCAAAGACCCTAGTAATACAGTGGGAAAGCAAAACTTTCCATGTTTCACTGATAAAAAGTAACGTTTTGGCAGTTTGGCCAGCAGGGGGCGCCACAGCAACCGCCGACTCCGGACCAGCAGGGGGCAGTACAGGGCCCTCCGGGAGCGCTGGGGGCTGAGCAGAGGTCTCGGGGGTCGGCGACATGGCTGGAGCAGGATCCCCGGTGGGCAGAGCAGCTGGAGCCTCGGGCGGTGAAGTGGGGGGCGCCGCAGAAACCGCTGGCTCAGCACCAGCAGGGGGCGCCACTGGGGGCGGAGCCACAGGCATAGGAACCACTGGGGGCGTCGCAGCTGCAGGCACGGGAGCCACTGGGGAGGCTGCCCAGTTCGGGAACTTGGGGACCCACGGGATAGCGTCCCAAATCGACCTGGCCCCTTTAAGGGCAAAAGACTATGACTAAAACTAAATAAAAATTTGCTGTCAAAATTAACACTGGTGAGAACCAAAAAAATGGTCCCCACAATAACAAAATAACAGGCTTTTATCACATTGTGGGGTTATTTGGTCCCTACAATGTAATGTATATCTGGACAACACACACTCACACGCACATGTTACTTGTAAAGCATAATAAAATCCCGTAGTAAAAGTCCCAGTGTTGTTTAGGTTTTTCATCACAGGACCCGGCCGCCTGACATAAACCCAGTAGGAATGGGGTTGGAGGACTCTGACAAGAGAGTGAAGGAAAAGTGGCCAATGAGTGCTCAGCATGTGGGAACCCCTTTAGGACAGCTGGAAAAGCATCCCAGGAGGCCACCTCATGAACGTGGTGTAGAGGAGACATTAGGGGCAGCCAGGCCCTGGAGCAATTGGGGTTAAGGGCCTTGCTCAAGGGTCCAATGGTGGGATCACTCTGGCAACCCAGGAATCTGAAGTGGCAACCTTCTAAGTC